CATTAAGGCAGAGGGAGATGTCAGTCAGGCCTTTATATGATTCTGTGATTCTTGATGGCTCTGCTGCATCAGATTCAGGCACATCACTTCCAAGATACTGGACAGAGATGGGATTTTGTGGAGGTGGGCTGAAAACTCCCCATAGCGAGGCAAGCACGGGCACAGGACGTTTCCTCATGCCAGCTGGTGGTCAGTGATGGCTTAGTCTGGGGAGGGTGTCTGTGGCCCTGGTGGGTGGGAGGGAGGGAGCCTTCTGGTGTTCATCCAGACTTTTTCTTACCTGGCCTGTTTGTTCTCTCTACAGAGATTTCTGCTGACTTCAAGGATCAGTCGTCTCCAGCTGGGAAGGAACCACCTGTGGTCCCAGCCTGTTCCCCACCGCCCAGCAGCCACCACTCCTCCGAGCTGGCGGTGCCGGTGTCCCTGGGGCAGCCGGTGCTCGTGGGCCGCCTGGAGGACTTCCTGGAGAGCAGCACCGGCCTCCCGCTGCTGACGGCAGGCCACGACGGGCCGGAGCCCCTGTCCCTCATTGATGACCTCCACAGTGAGATGCTGAGCAGCTCGGCCATCCTGGACCACCCGCCTTCACCTATGGACACCTCGGAATTGCACTTTGCTCACGAGCCATCTGGGGGCATAGCCCTGGATCTGGCTGAGGCTAACTTGGACAGCATGGACTGGCTGGAGCTGCCAGGGGGTTCTGTCATGAGCCTGGCTCCCCTGAGCACCACGGCTCCCAGCCTCTTTTCCACAGACTTTCTTGATGGACATGATCTGCAGCTGCACTGGGATTCTTGCTTGTAATTCTGTGAGCAGAGACTGAAGGGAATGGGAGTGGGAGGGCACAGGCATGCAGAGGGAAGAGGCCAGTCAACCAAAAAAAAAGAAAAAAGAAAGAGCTCCTAGTATTTGTACTCCTCCCCTAACAGCGTCCTTCCTGCGTGAAGCCGGCAGTGGGCCAGGCCAGGGCAGGGAGAACGGCTTCTGGGGGGGGAACGAGGCAGGAGGAGCTGTGGGGCTGGCGGCCTCCTGCCCACTCCACAGAGCCTGGCCCAGCTGGGGTAAGAACAGAGCCAGCAGCCCCTGGTCCTCCAGGCAGGAGCAATGGCAGCACATTGTTCCCTCAATGGGACAGAGCATGACTGGGCCTGAGCCGTTTCCAGAAGCAGCACTCTGCGCCTTCCTGGGATTGGCGGATGAAGGGGGTTGTGCTCCCCCAGCATGGTTGGTCTTAACGGTTGTGGAAGGGGATTCTACCTCTGGAGCAGGACACAAAGGCAGGAGGGCTGGCTGGGGCCCAGAGCAGCTGCCCTCTGCACCACCTGCCATCTCTCAGGGGAGGGTCTGATCTGCCACAGGGCTGGGAGGAGCTGGGCAGAACAGGCACCTTCCCTAAATGTAGCCAAAGGGAACCAGGGCTCCCCACCAACCTGGTAACGTCTAAGCTGGTTTCCCAAATATTGCTGAGCTTGGCATTGGCAGAGGCCTGCCGGCCTGCCTGCTAGCTTCACTCACTTTGGGCGGCAAAACGGTTTTTTAAGGTGCTAAAATCAGGTCCTTATATGTTAAAACTGCTGTCAGGCACAGCCCATTGCCCCCAGCTCCCATGGCACTCGTGATGTCCCCAGGTGAGCAGAGCAGTCAGCCTGGGCAGGGACACAAAAGTGCCTGGGCATCCTGGGGAGCAGGTGAGGGGCACAGCTGATCAGTAACATATCACTGGGGGCCACGTGCAATCTGTCTCTGCCTTCGCTGTGTTGGTGCCTCACTGTAGCACGTGCCCCAGTGGAAAGCAGCAGCTGGGAATGGATGTTGGACCCCATAGGCAAGGAAGGGGAAGTGGGACTGCAAGAGTGGTGTTGGGTGGCACAGCGCAGGTCCTGGCTCAGTGACTGTGAGGGCAGCTGACCTCTACTATTCCCCCTCTTCTGTCCCACAGGGTAAAAGGCAAAAGTAAATGGGTGCTTACTTTGAGCTGGTGCCCTGTGTCCCGGTAGGGCCCCAGGCTGGTGCCCTGGGGCAAGTGCAGACTGAGGAGTGGGTGGACAAGCCCCCAGGACCTCAGAGCCATGACGATGCCATTGCTTGGGCAGGGCTCTGTGGTGGAACACCAGGCTTGTGGCTCACTCTTATGCTGTTACTCCTGTTACTTTAGAATTCCTGTGTCAGTAGTAATGCACGGCCATACTGAGCAGGTGGGACACGGTTTACGTGAATGTGGGCACCTCGCCACAAGGCTGTTCCTGCTTTGGCCCTGAGCTGGGTCCAGGCTGCTTCTGCTGAGTGAGGTGGGGGAAGCTGTGGCTTCTGAAGTCATGCAGACTGAGGTACTGACCTGCTCAGGCAATTAAAGGATCAGCTGCCATCCTTCTCAGTATCTCCTTGAGGATGCTGTCCCCACCTTTCCCCCATGCTGGGCTGCAGAGCTTCCTGCTGGGGAGGGGTAGCTGTGAGCCATGTGCTGCTTCCCTACAACTTTGGTACCTGGTCCTCATCCCAGGGAGAGGCTGTGCCACAGGGGTGCTGGTACCTCTGCTCCATGGTGAGGCAGGTAAATGCCAACCCTGCATAATGTGCTCTCCCTCAGCCACTGAACTGGCAGCTGGGTGGGGTCACGCCTGTTTGCAGCTGGGAGACACTCCTGCTTTCCTGAGCCCTTTGCTTGTTAACTGATGGGGAGCCACTTTCTTAATCATTAGCAGGGGGAGCCTGCTGGCAGCTTCCTTTCTTACCCCTCCTCTCTCCTCTGGCCCTGAGCTGTAAGCAAGTTGGAGCCTCTTATCTGCCTTCCTCAGTGTCCGGGTTGGGGAGGGCACCACCCCCCCACCACCCCCCCTTCTCAGAGGCTTTCTATTCCTCAAGCTACAGTGTCACATCCTAAAAATCAGAATAAAAGAGTCTGGTGAGCACCCTCTTTATCCTTCTGAGCCCTCCCGGAATTCTCTCCTGGTGCAGCCCAGGTGCTCACTGGGATCAGTGAGTACTTAGCAATCACCTCAAGAGCTTTCACCAGCTCTGCCTGGGCAGCTGCCCAGCTGTGGGGGCAGGAGGCAAGGAGTTCCTAAGGAAGAAAGTATGTGGGGAAAGAGAGGCTCTCCGAGATGCTAGGGGGAAAATGTGAGGCTGCCTGTTTGCCAGACTCAAACAAAATCAGGTTCTTCAGCCCATAGTTGCAGTAGCCCCCAAAAAACCAGCTGTGAGATTTCTTTGGTACAAATAATTACAATTCTGCAGCTCTTAAATAAAGAAGGAAATGATCACTAAAGTGATCAATGCTATGAGCTCCTAGAGGAAGGTGGGAGCACTCCAGCTGCAGTCCTGGCCTGACCCAGCCCTAGTTCCTTGCCCCAGCCAGGTACTCCATTGATTGGCAGAGAGATGCCAATGCCTGATAGCAGGGTAGCCCTTCCCAGAGATTGCTGGTGGACGGCTGAGCTGGCAGCTGCTCCCTTTCATCTTCACCCATCCACCATCATCAGGTGTGAAACTGTAGGAATTTAATGACCCTGACTTTGCCCAACATACTTGCATTGGCTGAAGAGCTTCAAGGAGCCCAGAGGATACAGAACCATGAGCCTCATGTTCTGAGGAGCCCGGCTGACCTGTGGGAGCCCCTCCCTCCAAGGGACTTCTGCCAGGAGAGTGAGTGCTAACCCTGTGCCTGTGGGCAGAGGGGAAGGTAGTGCCTCAGCCCTGGAAATGTTAGAAAGTCTTTTCCCCAAGCAGTGCCCAGAGCAGGCTTGCCCAGTTCTCTGCTTTCTTACTATTATTTCTTTGAATAATAGTTCAATAGTTCTTTGTTGGAAGAGGTATTCCCCTGGACATACATTTTTGCACCCATTGGGAAAAACGAAGTCTGATGTTCTGCCTCTACCTTGAATGTAATCCTGAATCTTTCTGCTGTAACCACTACTTGTTTGTAATGTGTATTTGACTAGCACGCACTCTCCCTTCCACTATGCAGCCACTGGCGAGGGGTGATCAGCACCATCAGAGTCGGATGGTGTTGGGGCATCAGATCCAGAGCGAGTATTCAACTGGAAAAGGATAAAAGTGACAAGTTAATGGGGGAGAGAATGGATCTTTAAATTGAATTATTTTTTCAGTTACAAATATTTGAAGAAAAAAAATCCATTTTATTAAAAAAATTCCAAACAGCCACATTCTCAAAAACTTTTCTGCTATGCTGGTGGGAGGGCTTGGGGCCATTCTGCCTTTTCCAGCTAAGGGTGGGTGGGTGATCCCTCTGTGCCTTTCTCAAACCTGAAAAAAACAGTTTAAGTGGTGGTGGCTCATCCTTCTCAGCTGCAGGGAGATTGCCTCAGTGTATGGAAATTACCTGCCCTGAAACCAGAAGCAGGTTTTACCAGGGACAGCTGTTTGTCTCCCCCAGCCCAGCAGGCTGGTCTGGACTGCAGGTAGTGGTGAGGTGACACTGCCCCTTCTGCAGCCACATTCCAAAGGAATTATCTTCACTGAAGACGCTCACTTTCAAATCAGAATATATGCTGCAACTTCCACCCTCCCACAAGCTTGGACTTCTAACTTAGTTCTCCCAAGGGCCTGTGCCCTCTTACTGTCCCACTTTGCAGCTCAGCTTACACCTGCTTTTTCCAGAGACACTTCTTGTACAGACAACACTGCTGTCCCCACCACCCAGCCCTGCTTTCTGCTAGCCCCTCTGCCTTTCTTAAGGGTCCTCCCTCCACAGTGTCCCTACAACCCATAGTTTCCAGTATTTCTGGCTTTCCTGAGGCTCTGCTGTGGACCTGCTCTTAGGGCTGGTAGCAGAGGCGAGGCAGGGCTGCCACTGCTGGCAGCAGAGCTGGCTCTGCCCTGGCTGCTGCCTGACCTTGTGAGCTGCTCCAATGCAAGGAGCTCCCTCGGTGCCAGCACAGAAATGGGACTGCCAGTGTCAAATGGCAGAAAGGAAAAATTAAACCAAATCCTGGCCCTGTCAAAAAAAAAAAAAAAAAAAAAAAAGACAAAGCCCAGCACTCTCCCAAGACGCAGTTTTTATTTACAAACCCACCAAATAAAGGAAAGTAAGAATCTAGTGTCATCCCATCAGTAGTTTGTGCTCACAGACAAGCGCTTTCAGTAGAAAGTCACAGACTCCGTATCCAGAGCCACCACCACAAAGCAGCAATTCTCCACTCCTGACCCACCTCCCCGTTGCCATCGCAGGGCACGGAGGACGAGTTAGTCTCCCTGAGCCAGCTCCAACCTAAACCTTGTCCTGAGCTACAACGGTGCCAAAATATACATGTTCCTGGAGTAAATTTACAGCTTTTTGGTTAACAGTAAAAATCATCTCAAGACTAAAATGACAGCATGAAATACTCTTGTTTAGAGGAGAGGTGGTTTTTGTCTGCTCCCAGAGTAGACAATGACCATCCCCTAAGGCTGTTACAGTGGTAACAGGCTGGTAAATTTGGGCAACTCCTGTCAACACCCCACACCAGTGCCAGGGAGGTGGGATGAAACTGATGCCAGTTCCCCCTTCTTAGCTCCAAGTCAAAGGAACTTGTACATGTCTCCCTAGCAGAGGGGAGCCCTTGGCCGCCATGGGGAGGGGATGTGCTCTCGCTGCTCCTGTACAGCAGTGAGTCTCTCACCAGCCCAATTCCCCACGCAGCTGCAGTGCCAACTGTCAGTGGCACCAGCTCTCATGGATCAAAGCCACCCCAAAAGGGCCATCTCTTCCCCACAGCTCCAGCCACAGAATGCTCACATCCCCACAGGTGACTGCTGGCCCATGGGGCAGAGCACAATGCCTCCAGCCAGGCTGCTCCCCTGGGCACTGCTGGGGAGGCAGGGCCGAGGAAAGCAGAAGATAGGGGTGGCAGAGATGTGGAAAACTGGGAGGGGGCACTTGCTTTTAGTAGCCAGAACACACTTGTCCCTTTGCAGCATCACCCTCAACCATCAGCCCCCTCGGGTCTGCAGCTCAGCCTCCTGGCACTGCTCCATCTGTCCCAGGTGGTTTGGCAGCCCCCAGGGGGGATTTTGTCACAGATACAAGTGGGTGGGGTGGGGAAGGGCAGGGGGTGAGACATGATGGGGTGGAGGAGAGGAGTGTGGCCATTGAGAAGGTCCCCAGGATGGGGCAGGGTGGGGGTCACCCATCTATGTCCCAGCTGAAGAGATGGTGCTTCACGAGCATGTCTTGCACCCCTTCTTTCAGTGGCTTCTTCTCCTTCTCCTGCAGGATGACACAGAGACCCAGGTCAGTGCACCACACCCAGAAAAACAGAGGTTTTGTCTGCAGGCAGAGCCTGAGGGCACCGAGGCTCTGGCACCCAGAGCAGCTTCCTGCACTTCCCACCTTTGCACAGCTGGCACAGCGAGAGGCCTTTAGTTTGGAGAGCATCGGGGAAAGGGACACTTCCCTCTGCCCCAGCTGGGCAGGCAGTCCCCTCTGCCACCACTGCCCCACAGCTCCTGCCCTGGCAGGGAAAGCAGCCCCATCCACAGCCTCTGGAGCTGGCTCCAGAGGAGGCAGATGATGGGCTGAAGCACAAAGCTGGGAGAGGGAGGCAGTAAGTGAAGCCCCTGGCTGAGTGAAAGAATGAGAGATGCCACCTACTGACCTCCCTCTTTATTGGCAGCTCCCAGTCCTGAGAGAGGCTGAAAGCAAATTTGCCGAGGACTCTGCAACAAAACCAGAAGAGAGCGATGTTAAAATGGACCCCCAGACACACTCCCAGCCTTTGCCACAACTGCTGCCCCAGGCATACAAATACACTGTCTCCCCAGCTTGTCCTGGCATGCCACTAAGCTCACAAGCATGAAATTCCTTGTTTGATGGTGTTGAAAAGACAGCAGCAGTCACTCATTCCCTGTTTTCCCCTCCTCACTGGGCTTCACATCCTCCCAGGCCCAGGCTGGAAGAAGGAGCTTGAAGATGTAACTCAAGTGCAGCCCCTACAGAGCCTGGAGCGGCAGCACAAGGAGGCAGCCCCGGGCTCTGGGGGACTGCAGAAACGCCTGGCTCAGGGCTGCATGCAGCTGGCAATGGCAGGTTCCTCTAGAAAGCAGACCCCTTCCTGCAGCACCTCAGAGTTCTACAGCGCCCTCCCTCTCCCTGGAGCAAGAGAAGTGTCCTGCAGCAGAAGTGCTCAAAGGGGCTGGCACGGGGCGCTCCCTTGCTGGCTGGGAGAAGTAGGACATAAGACATGAACCAGTCCCACCCAGTCCTTTGGCTCTGCCCACTGGCACTGCCCCCCCTGCTGTGGGACACGGCAGCCCAGAGGGGGCAGAAACCCCCTCCCATTCAGCAGCAGGCTGAGAACAAGACACCCTGAAGTGTGCACACACAGGCCTGCTCTGGCTACAGATGCTCCCACTGGGGCCTGAGGCAAGTGGGTTGTGCACACAAAAGCCAGCTTCCACTGAACAACAGCAGGAACCAGGCTGGAGCAGGGCTGATGCCATGGGATTTTCCTTCCAGCTCCCTGGGACTTCACCTGGCTTTGCAGAGCGCAGGAGGGCCAGGAGCATGGATGCCTGGAGCCCCAGGGATGTGTGCCCTGGGCTCCAAGTGACTGCCTTGTGCAAGCTCAGGCACTAAAGCTGCTTTCAGCCCCCGACACCACTCCCTCACCTAACTAGGGAGTCAGTGGGTGACTGAATCCTTCCCAGCCAATGACTGTCCAACTGTCTCCCTAGGACATTCCCTGCTCTCTGCTTGGACTTAAGAGTGCTTGGCAAACGACATGGAGAGCAGTGGGGTTGAAAAGGCAGACTCTCCATCAGAGTAGCAGGAGGCAGGCAAAGGCTGCCTGCTTGTCACAACAGGACCCCAGGAGCCAAGCTCTGCTCTTGGATCAGGCAGGCACAGTGCCTCACGATAAACTGTCCAGACATTTCCTGCTGCCTCAGCACACAGCAGGAAATGTCTATGGCTGGGATGTCTGGGCAGCCCATGCTGCAACTCACTGGAGAGGGCCCAAACCCAGCCGTAGTGAGGGCCACCTCCTGCTGAGGAGGGGCAAATCTATTCCAGACACTGGCATGGGGACATGCCACAGGGACACTCACCTCAGCTCACATTTGATCTGCACCCACCCAGGACTGCGCAGGAACGACCAGGGATGGAACCACTTCTCCACAGTCTGCAGGCTTGAGCACAGCACCTCCAGCCACAAATGCAGCACCTGCTCGCTGCAACAATGGGGTATAGGCTTGTTACTCAGCTGCAGCCAGGAAAGAAATCCATCCCTCTAGGGTAGTCTATTTTCAGACCAAGACTTGACCCCCATCCACAGCCCTGTCCCCAGTGGGAACAGGATAACACCGTAAACTTGTGTGAGCCACCCCATACAACAGGAACTCCTTCTTCCAGCTGGGAATCAGGCCAGCACAACACACAAGTCTCTCCCAGTGGCTGCAGTGAGAGGGGGGATAAATGATGCTGTGGCCTAAGATTGAAACCACTGCTGTGCTTAAGCCCACTCTGTCCCTTCCCAAGCTCTTTGCAGCCAAAATGCCGAGGGTACCAGGGCCAGATGACTCACTTGAGTCCAACACAGATAAGAGAACGAAGCTTCACATCCATCTGTGCATGTGCAGCATCGTGTGTCATGTTCACAGCCTGAACCGCCTGTAGGGAGGGAAGGTGTGGTTACTGCTGGGCAGCCACTTCAGCAATACAGCAAATGCTGCCCTCCCTGGAGCTCCCACCCCCACCAGCGAGCGCCCCTGCTAGCACCAGAGGGGCTAAGGGAAGCCTAGGAGACTCTGGAGCATCTCCCTCCAACAGTCTCCACAGGAAATATCCCCAAAGTAGGAGCTGGGCTCGGGGCAGCACTCACCCGGTAAAGCAGCTCCTCTGGAGTGAGGACTTTGCCATCTTCATCAAGCCTGTAAAGATCACAGCAGAGACCCAGCTAGCTCCAGCCACCCTGAGCACATAGCAGGCCTTTCCTGCTTCATGGCCCAACAGCTCTCATGCTACTGCTGAGCCCAGAGGTGCCCCCAAAGTCTTGAGAGCCAGATACAGACCCAGAATCAAACACAGAGCCCCAGGGGAGGGAACAAGAGCCACTGCCAGCCCCAGGTCAGCACAGACACAGCAGCCTGCTGACACCACACCCAGAGGAGCATGGAGGAGGAGGGCACAGACCTGTAAGTCTTGCAGAGCACAAGGCGAGAATACACGGAGTCAAAGTCCCGTTCCACTTCCCGGCTTGCAGCCTGGAGGAGCAGAGGGACACTCAGCAAGCCTGCCCTACAACCCACCACCTCAGCCCTCTGGCAACACTGCCCCACAAAAGGCACTGGGACATCTCACCTCTTCAATGAACAGCCAAGGGTGGCAGGCACCCCCCAGCAGAGATGGCTTCTTCAATCCATGTTCAAATATGGACTTCAAGGCTGGACAGAGTGTCCCTCGCACCAAGTCTGTCACTCCCTCTGTGACAGAGTCATCTCCAGCGATGGAGTACTGAGGAACAGAAAGAGCCAGCTCTCAGCGGGCAGAGCATGGAGGTGGTCCACTCACCTACGCCTCTGCACAGACCATCTCCACTCCCAGGGAGTGTGTGCCTGCCAGAACCCCTTCCCCTTCCTCTACCCGTCATGCTCTTCCATAAGGCCCCATGTTCTGTGCTACTGCAGGGGATCTTCTGAGACCTTTGTGTTCAGGTGGTGCCCAGGAGACCCCACAAGTCATCCCAGCACCACCCCAGCAGCATTCAGCACATAGGAATGTGATGGTGTGATGCTGACTGAGCTAAGGTGTGGAGAGGGACTTGCACTGAGGGTGTCTGGGACTCTGTAAGCTGCTAAAAGTCAAGACAAACAGAATCAAATAGGAATTTCCAGGTCAGGGGGAACACCACTTTGAGGTATCATGCTGATACTCTGCTAACACTCCCATAAATGGGATCCTCTCTGTTTCCACAGTTAGGAGCAGAAACACTCAGCAGTGCAGGACATTTCTCTGCACAGAGAGGTGATCTGCATCTAAGGAGCCAGCCCTGAGAGAGGGGGAAGGAAACGATATGTCAATATTGGCATCTCTCTGGGAGCTTCTCTAGAGGGACTTGGGTCAGCCTTTCAGCTCTTCCTCACTCCCCAAATGCAGAGAAGAGAGAGAACTGGGCCTTCTCCACTTCCCCTGAAAACTGCTAAGGTCAACAGCTGCTGATGTTTGTCTCATACACACTACCTGAATCTTGAGGACACACTGAAGTATCTGCTATAGAAGTGCCATCCTATCACTGCCAGCTGTAAGAGGAACTAAGACAGGTTGTCAACTGGGCACAGCTGCTTGGGTAGAATTTGCTGTCATGGTCACAAAGCATGAGCAGGATCCATAGGTACAGGCTCAAAGGAGTAAAAGAACAAAGGCAGCTGGGAGCAGACAGAAACACTGCCCTGCAGAAGACATAACCCTTTTTTAAAATGTGAAGTTCTTTCGTAATTGTGGGGTTTTTAAGTACCTCTTTACTCCGCTCATCCAAGATCTCCACAAATTTTGCAGGAAACCAACCTACAAAGAGTGAACAAAGAGATAAGCCTGACAAAGATACTGAGAAATCCTTACACAAAGCCCAGTGGGAGCTGAGAAAAAAAATCAGAGTTCATAGGGCCTACCACCAAAGAAGGAAGCAAGCTGCCTCAAAACCACAATAACTAAGGCAACTGCATGAGAAAGCCAGTTGCAGGACACTGCCCACATGCAGCGGTGGTGACATGCACCCAAACCACCCCATGCCAGGAGGATGGAGCCAAAACCTACTGCTTGCAAGAAGTGACCAGGTCACTGCTGCATGACTGCTCTCATACATTTCCTTGCCCCTGGCAGATACTCTGGGTACTGGCAGAGCCTTTGCTGCCAGAGCAAAAGCCCCATTCTCCCCAGTGCAATCCATCCTGTTCTCACCTCTCAGTCCATTCAGCTCCCCCACCCAACAGTGCTCATCCTTCTGGGAAATGATCTGAAAAAGAGGGAGTGGAAAATACCAGTTGAAGAGGTTGCAGTGGCACGAGGGGTACAGCTGCCTGGCTGTGTGCCCACAATGAGGAACTGCTTTCTTCTCAGCTGCTTTGCCAATGTTCACTTCTCACATAGCCCAGGGCCTTCAAGGGCACAAAGCTACTGCAAACATCCTCTTCTCCCCAATTTTTGATGGAATGCTCACAGTTAAATGCAAATGGATGCTTTTACAATTCAGTGTGTGGTGTTAAACTAGGACTTGGGTTGGACCAAATCCATCTTTTGCACAGGTGTCAGGAAAGGGACTTTGTGGCGGCAGTGAGAACGACCTACAGGAGCATACTGCCTCATTCCCAGGCAGTCCCTAGGAGCACCAGCTGCTTCTCTTGGGCTCCTCACTGTGCTCTGAGCTTATCACCCCCTTCTTTCCCTGCAGGAGAGGTAGCACAGCATCCCTAACAAGCTGGGTCTGCTTGTCCCCCCGGTGCCTGTCCCCAGGCCGACACACCGTAATGATGTCGTTCTTGCGGAAGCCCAGCTCGTCGTCATCGTGGCGCTCAAAATCCAGCAGTGCCTTGGCTCGGCGGCGCCGGTTGCGGGAACAGGCCACGTAGTTCTCGTGGTCCCGCTGGTGGCTCTCCATGCTGTAGTATGGGGTCAGCTACTAACAGCCATACCCCTGACAGCAGAGAGGAATCAAAGTGCCAAGGCGACTTTAGGACTTGGGTTGGACCAAATCCATCTTTTGCACAGGTGTCAGGAAAGGGACTTTGTGGCGGCAGTGAGAACGACCTACAGGAGCATACTGCCTCATTCCCAGGCAGTCCCTAGGAGCACCAGCTGCTTCTCTTGGGCTCCTCACTGTGCTCTGAGCTTATCACCCCCTTCTTTCCCTGCAGAAGAGGTAGCACAGCATCCCTAACAAGGGACTGCTTGTCCCCCCGGTGCCTGTCCCCAGGCCGACACACCGTAATGATGTCGTTCTTGCGGAAGCCCAGCTCGTCGTCATCGTGGCGCTCAAAATCCAGCAGTGCCTTGGCTCGGCGGCGCCGGTTGCGGGAACAGGCCACGTAGTTCTCGTGGTCCCGCTGGTGGCTCTCCATGCTGTAGTCTGGGGTCAGATCCTAACAGGCATACACATGACAGCAGAGAGGAATCAAAGTGCACAGGTGACTTCCAGCTATCTGCCAAAGCTTGCCTGCCCATTCCCAAACCTTTTCCTGCTCCTAGACAGCAGACAACCTCTCAGCACAGCCCTCCACCACAGATGGATTAAGCAAGCCTCACCCTCCAGCCACTACTCATGGCATGTTCTTTCTCAAGCCCACACATCAAGAGCATTTGAATAGCCCTGTCGTGTGTTGAACATTCAAAACCCATGCCTGGAGCACACAGCAGTGCAGATCCAGCTGTTTCCACTCACAATTATGCAGTTCTTGGGATCCACACACTGAAAGTGCCGTGCCACCTGGAGAATGGCCTCACGCAGGTCAGCCACCAGCTCTGTCTGCTTGATGTTCTTGGCTTTCAGTGCCTCCAGATCATCATCCCCTGGTGGAGCCCATGCAGCCAGAGGGAAGACAAGGGAAGTAGAACAAGTACATGGTATTTATTTTTTTGTTACTGTTAGAAAATACTGGTTCTGAAGAAACCAAAAAAGCCTAACATCAGAAGTACCTAAACTAAGGCAGGTATTTATTGCCAATCTATTCAATAATGTAAATAGTAGTTACCAATGTGACTGCATCAAATTTTAAGGAGATGATACTTCAAACTGCATATGGAACTGGAATATGTCATCTTTGATCTGTCTGGGAAACTCAGTATACCAAGGTACTACTTTAGAGAAGTGTCTATAATATATAGTCAGCTAAAAGGTGGGACACAAGACTGGGGAACTTCCAATAATTCCCTTCAACTGAAATTCTCTTGAAACTGAATCAGGTTTTGGTTGAATTACTTCTGATATTTGTATAACTCACAGGCTGAGAGCACATTCTTCACCGAGTCTTGGAAAAGATCTGAAAAACCAACACAGCCCACTTTCCTGTGCCAGTCATGAAGTCAGAGCCACGAGAGACCTCAAACTCCTTAAGAGCCAGACTTCAAATGTTTGGGGTGTACAGAAATGGTCATGAGCCCAAAGTAAAAGTTACCAAAGCATCTTTTAACTATCACTAATCCCCCCAGGAGTTTTGAGAGCCTATGTCTATTACCTAATGCAGAAAGATACCTGATGGGATGGATTCTTTAGACAGTTAATGTATCTAAATGCCTTAAACATTGAGTACATGATGTTTGGGAACAATGAACCATTTGCTTATTTTTTAAAAAAAAATCATCTTGTACTTTCATATAGCTATTTCTGCTCCCTCTATAATATACTGAAGATGTGGTAGCTTGATTAACAAAATTAACATTTAAACTGATATATTTATTCACTGAACTCCAATGTTTGTACAAACACAGCTTTTATCCAGGAGCCAAGTAAATCACTGGCTAGCAAATTAGTACTCTGCTTATCTTCTAGCAGCATTATAGAAAACCATATGAAAAAAGCATGGCCTGAGCTACAGCTGTTGCAACAGCTATATACACATTAAGCTTCTGCTAACTGAAAAGTGATTAAGAGTATCTCTTAATCATGTGATCCTAATTAAAAAGACCCAAACTTTAGGAACATAAATAAAAGCAAAAAATTAGATATAAACTTATTTTTATAATTGTTTTCTATTTGCTACATTAAATTATTTGAGATACATAACAGAAAATTGAACTTTGCTTCTGAACAAGAAAAATTGTGGGGCATAGTTACTCCCAGTCCCAGCAATAAAAAAAATAACAAAATCTCCTCCTCTGTATCCAGGGGTAGGTACAGAGCATGCCAGAACTCTCACTATTCAGAAATGCAGAAACTGAAAATAGATAGGTGAGCATGTAGATGTCGGGGGTTCCCAGAAATTTCATGCTGCTAAAATAGAATGCGACTAGAGAAGAAACTAAACCACAGCTACACTAGCTCTGTGGGCTGCCCTCATTTACATAAGATCATTGATTCTTTCTGTCATCTCTCAGTCCCATCTGGCCAAAATACCATGCTCTTCCCTCTGCACTCAGATCAATCCTAGCCAAGCACAAGCAGGAGGTGTGGGGAGCGAGTTTCACACTCTCCCACCTTAGAGTGGGCATGGTACAGAGGAAAGCAGCTGGCGTGTCCTGCCCCAGACTCACCTCACTGCACTCAACATGTACACTTTCAAACTTCAACACACACATTTCCAAACAGGAAACCACACTGCATGATCAGCCACACGTGAGCAGGCTCTACTTTGAGCCTGCAAAGACTGACGAGCTGCACAGCTCTGCACAGGAGGAGCTCTTCTGCATTCCCTCGCTGCAATGCCCACACAACAGGAAAACGCCTCTTGCACATTCTGCTCTCCACCAAATAATCTTTCATTATTTCTTTATCTTCCTGCACTGTAAATCTGGTTAAATTCAACTACAGAAGGCCCGGACCAACCTGATTTAGCATGAGCAAGAGTCTGCTTCAAGCAGGAGACATTGGAATACAGATACTGAGAGGTGTCTTCTAAACAAAAGTGCTCTTGTGATTCTATGACTTCTGCCCAAGTTACTACCACATCTGAATTCACTCGAAGGAAGAATGGAGCTCTGGGTAAGTTCTTCTTCCCTCCCAGATGAGGGCTAAGTACCAGTACTACACAGCAATTATCACAGGCAAGCAGACTTTACATTTAGGATTGACTGTCAGTTCCAGTAGAGGGTGAATTTATCACATACAAGCTTTCCTTCCTCTCACTTGGGCTGAATTTTTCCCTTGTGGTCAACTGCTGCAGGACAATGACAATTTCTCAGTTTTAACCACCATTTTAAATACTAAGAATAATGTTAGGTAAAACACATGATGGTCATTGTATAGAAGCCCCCATAAAATAATAAAACTCTATCAATTATCTCTTTTCTACCACTGATGCATTTTGAAGCTTGAACTTAAAATGTATCTTTTTGTGCAAGTCATAACTCACTATCACCTCCATAAAAATACTCAAACTGTCAAGGAGACTGAGACACAAGAAAGGTGTGTGTGGCAGCCAAGTTCCTTGCTAGTTCAGTCTGTACCTACTGTATGATAACGTTACATACAAAAGCTCTGAGTTCAGATTGCACAAGCAACCTTCCTGCATTTCTTCACTTCTGCATGCTTGACCTTACAGCATCATGGGTATTCTATCATATGTTTTCTATGTAATTTTCTATGTGCTTGTAGAAAACCCATGACAATATATCAGCTTCCTGGAGAACATGAGAAAAGCTCCTCTATGGAAAGACCAGTAAAGCCCATTTTTAAATTTATCCAGGCCATTCCACCACAACAGGAACACTGTTTGAGCCCTGCAAATTCAGTATGTTGTCTTCTTCCGGAAAAACAATTCCTGTGGTGACATGTGGCAATTCCAAGAAGGCTAGCCAATTTCAAGTGAGGTGATGACACTGAGGCTTACAGCAGAAAGGGCTCTTATGGAGTCAAGAAATAAGTTACTCAAACTCCTGCAAAAGCTATTCTGACTGTGCCCTTTCTGTACATATGTTGGCTTGGCTCATAAGTGAAGAAAATTATGAGTCAAAAGCAAGACTTCTTCCCCTTGTTGTTGAAGTCACAACATCAAACTCTCAGAATAAGTAAGGGAAAACATAATGATGCTTTCATTTATAATTTTGATGAGTCACACACTAGACATCCTGCCCTGTCTCACAGAGATGTTCCTGAATTGAGCAGAGTGAGATCAGAGAGTACCACATCCAGCCTGTGGATTGCACAAGGTCTGCCAGAAAATGTTTGACCTTTTGACCTGTGCAAGAAGGACATTACAGCTGGGCTGAGCTGCACCTCCTGTTGGTCCACTATTCGTGGACTGCCTAACCTAAAATTTACTTTCTAAGCTCAGATCAAAGAAATCAAGTAGTAAACTGCACTTCTTCCTTCTCATCCTTCAGTTCTGACTCCCTTCTCTCCAATCCCTCTGTCCCAATGTTTCCCTGCTTTGCCTGCTCCCCTCCTTCCTAAGCTGCTACAGCCACCAACTACACAACACGAAAAGCACAGGACTGTCCTTACCGAAAAGCAGAGAGGTGATGCCGGATTTCCTGCGCTGAGTCCTGCGTCGCACAATCTGTGGGAGAGGGAACAGAGAACAAAGTGCACACATCAGGACAGATTTCAGAAATAAAATAAAGCAACCCCCCACACCAGTCAGCTCTGGGCAAGGGGTCCTGACAGCTACCACTAGAAGGGGCAGGCCAGTGAACTGGCAGTTTTAAACAGGAGTTGTTCTAGTCCTAATGCATTGAATCAGCTTTACTGCTCCATCTGCTCCACGTGCAACAGGTTATGTTTACCTTAATTATTACAAAAGCATAACTGAAGTTCAAGAATCAACCACGATCCATGTAAATAATTTTAACTCTAATTCTATTTGTTGCAAAAAGCAGTTCCACATTTAATTGCATATAAATTTCTAAGCAGATGGGTATTACATTTTAGAATTGCCTGAATGTCTTGTTTGCAACTGTAGATTTTAGTCTAAGATTAAACACAGGTGCATTTTTAATTTGGCTCCTCAAAAGCAGCTGCTGCTGTTTTTTCACTCTACCTTCCAAGGTTATTTTAGTGTACCAGTTTCTTACTAACAGATTAAATTCAGTTCCTACTCTGTATGCTTTAAGAAAATTCTGCCAAAAGCTTATGTTGTTTCTTTTAGTTTCCATTAATGAAATGGATCACATTTCATCATCACTCTCATGAATGATAATTACAATCAGTGCTAATATCCCTTTCATCTGAGTATTTATCAACCAGGACAGAACTGGCAGCATGTCATTGACATTTTCTTCACTGGGTAACACTCATCCTGGAACCAAAAATCCTCTCAAACAGCAGAACCTCCTGCTCACAAACCGTAATTGGGTGGGAATATGTAAGGAATGGTAAAAAGGGACTCTGTGCACTCACTTTGGATAGGTTGTTGACCGTGGTGCTGGAGTTGAGCAGCTGCCCCTGCTCAGCGATGAGGTAGGCCAGGTGTTTGCGGCGCTGGGTCTCCACCGCCACGTCCGTCAGCGAGCCAGCCACGCGCATGGCCTCTCGCAGCAACACATCTGCGTCTTCAATCTGGCTCGGGATGTCTGACAGCGTGTTGAAGATCGAGGCAGAGTTCTCAGACTGGATCAGCTCATCCTCCTACAACAATACAGGCATTTTTGCCTCATGGAGGGGTGAACATGACAACTGTGCTCCTGAGGCTGCTAGATGCAGTTTTACATTCCATGTATAGCCTGGGCAGGTACAACTAGAAAATTCCATTAAAAAAAGCTGCAACAGGAAAAGTCCTAGCTACTTTTGAGAGGGGAACAGCATCTTCTACTGCTCTATTGCACTCTACTCCTAGAATTCTAGCCAGCATTTTTTTGAATCACAGCATTCACCATTGAAATGAAATCAAATCAGCACGGAAAACCAAACTCAAACCTATTCTGCACCGACCACTAGGACTGGTCACAGCAGGGATCTTGCTAGGGATAAGAGAATGGGAGCTGCACTCTAGAGCACCATGTCAAACTGTGCTCCACCTTCCCCTTACTCCCACCAGGATCACCCTTGCCCTTCACACAGCAAACTGAATACAAAACTGTTTTTCACATAGAAAAGGAAAATATCAGGTCAGCCAAATCAAATGCAGTCAGGACAATGCTCATCTCTTACAGCATTCAAGCAATAGCATCCAAACTTCCGAGATGATCCTAACTTTGGCTTTCTCTTTCCTCCCAGATTGTGCAAAATCAAGAGGTATCTCAGTTTAGGTTTAGATACAGTGGACAGGTTGGGATCTAGACTGATAAAATCAGCTGGTGGCAGGTGATGAGGTTTAATTATGTGGCAACAAATTAGGTATGCATGGGAAACAGCATTCTCTAATTTCAGTGAAGTTTTTCACAGCCTCCAGTTCTGAAGGCAGCAGGAAGTTGTCTTCCCTAACACACTTCCAAACCACATAGAACAAGAGGATACAAAACCTTCTTGGCCCTAAATCTCAGAATTGAACAATAAAGGCAGGAGAGGAGTTGGGAATTACCTTCATACTTAGCATGCCCAAAGTGACTTGGAACAGCACCAGAGAGCCCTCGTAGAAGAAGAGGTCCCAAATACGCAGCAGCAGCTTGATGTGGACAACACTAGCAAAAGAGGTGAGGAACCAGTGCAAGGTGATCAAGGAGAGCTCTGTGAACAGAGACATGGAAAATAATCACAACAAAGGAAGTCAGTCAACCAGTGAAGGTGGACTCTCCTAAGGGCTTTCCTCCATGCATTGCCTCCAGGGTCAGGAGGTTCACTCCTCTCCCTGCTGCTCCCCCTTTGTGGAAAAAAAACAATACTCTTTGTCTGCGTGTCACCTTGGCAAGAAATTTCTAGGGCACACTTTTACCAATGTCGTGCTCCTGAAGCAGCTTGTCCAGGCGGGGCAGGTACTGCACGATGAGCTGCCGCAGGACACGCTGGTCTGTCTGCACACCCATGAGGGTGGTGCTGAAGTAGGAGGCAGGAACCAATTCCTCAATGATAGCACACATCATCCAGAAGGCATCTTCCTCCTCCAAGAAGAGTAGCAGAGAGGCAGCCACCTAGGATTTTGAAGGAAGAAAAACTCTATGTTCTAGGAGGGAACTCTTAAGAGTAGAGAAAAACTGCATATTCTAAGAGTAGAACTCTTTCCCCACTTTCTCACATGGAGAGATGGACCAGTATCTAGGTGACAAAAATCTTCCTTCTGCAGGAGCTCTACTGCAGTCTCTACTGAAGGGATTTCTCCTCAGTATAATGACTGCCCCTTCCCCAACAGATGGATCAAAGTCTTCCATATCTTTGGATGTATGGTGCTACTCTGCTCTCCCTTCTTCAGGAAAAGTATCAGGTGAAAGGGATTTCTCTTCAGGTCACCTGGAGACCACAGTATCTGGCAGCACCTCAAATCATTTGCTGCGGTGTAGCAACAAGAGACAAACTGATCCCTATCACAAAGACACTCTGAAAGCAAGTTACCATGCCAGTGCCCTGACAATATCCAATGTCTGGGTAGAGCCAGGCAAGTCCCCGTAGTATCCTGCGCAGCCGTGGCACCCCGATGCTGTTCATGTTGGAGAAGCAGGCGTTGCTGGGCATTGTGCGTAGCAAGTCCTTTTCAATCTGTCAGGCAGCCATAAACAAGGACAGAGTCAGCTTGCAGCATCTGAAAATCTGCTTTCAGCTCTCTGCACTTCCCCCAGCCCCCTGCCTCAGGGAACTCTGCCTCTCCACACCCACCCGTAATCCTCAGGCACCAAAGAAGATGTCCCTGTCCAAGCATCTGGGGTCAGCTTAACAGCCTTCACTGACGTGTGGGAAAATGCCAGTGCAGACAGTGGCTTGCTGAATCCCTAGAAATACTTGCCTAAACTCAGACCCTAGTTTCACCACTGACAATAGGAAACAGACTAGTTGGGAATTACATCTGCTTGGATTTCAAGCACGCCTTCTCAATGAACGTATTCCAGAGAAAAACCAACAACCTGGTCAAATCCGTGAGGTCAAAGGAAGAGGGAAAACAGCCTTTAATAGTCTTTAATAGATGTTCAGAAACATTGTGTTCGAGGGAAGAAAGGCCCTCTGAAAGCAGCTGCCACAATCTCAAGGGAGTTGCATCTGTCAGCCTTTCATCCTTCCCTTCCCTCAGTGACTATGAGGATGTTTGCTGAGATGCAACTGCAACATTTTTCTTATCATAGCAGGGAGCTCCCGTGCCTTCAGCCTAGGCTGCAGTACAAGTCAGCAGTCACCAGATATCGCAGGTAAAAATTAGCACTGACTCCATGATTCACAGAAGGCTGATCAATCTATCTTTATTAAGAAACCCATTGCTTTTATAGATAGTTACGATACACGGGTACTTCATTGGTCCTTTAATTAAAACACAATCACCATTGGCTAATTAGGAAACCACCCTTTGGTAAACCAATTTCCATAACACATTCCATATGTTCACAACAACAGGTGCAGCAAGTTAAGATAAGAATTGTTTCTCATTCTTTTCTCTGATCTTCTCACAGCCCTTCCCAGAAAGGCCTGGGAAAGTTGTCTGTTGCTCTCTGTGGCCAGAGAGCTGCTGCCACATTTTCTAACCCTTTTCTTGCTGTCCTCGGAAAGAGCAGAGCTAAACAATTCTTTTTCCAACAAAACAGAGGAGAAATATGCCCCACAGGATTAAGCTTTAGCAGGATTTAACCACACATCCTCTCACACAGCACATCTTGCCCTTCTTCCCACTCAGCACTAGGAAGGATCTCCTACCTGTTTGGCAGCAATGGTTTCATCGTTAGAGCTGTTCTTCACAATATCTCGATATGACATCTCTGAGTTCCTCTTCTTCTGCAAAGCCCCTGAAAGGCGCATCCACAGCTGGGGGGACAGGGTGAACAGAGACAGAAGTCACTCAGCCACAGAAAGCCATCATCTGGCAGGCTCTCAACTGCTGTCTCGAGAGATCCCATTCCATGATCTCTTACTCCAGGCAGGAGTGCCTGCCCAGAAGAGGCAGCATTCTCACCTGTGGCCTCATGCTATGTGGGATGCCGGCCAGCACCAGGGAGCGCAGCTTGTCTGAATGTGGCAGGGTGACCTCAATTTTGTCCCAGGTGAGGTCGCCCACATCATGGTTGTGTGTGAATTCCAGATGAGCCTGCCATTTGAGCCTCTGCTGTGGCTCCTCTGTCAGTGGGACCCCCAGAAGCTTGCTGGAGTTTGGCTCAGCACCATCTGCTTCAGCAAAGGGAAGAGAAAGGAATGGAGACAAGTGAGAAAGGGAACAGGAGAGGAAATGAACACATGACAGAGTGGGAAATAGGGCCATCTGAAAAAAGCACGTTCAAAACATTCATATCTTCCACGCATGAAAAGGCAAAGGTTGGTTTCTAACTGCCTACTCCATGCAGCAAATTTTATGATCATAAGCAAAAGGCTTAAGACCTTGAGAACTAAAGAAGCTTCTAAACTAAAGTCAGCAGGCTTCTAGTCTCTACTTATGATTTAGACCACAGTGTAGCTGGAATTAGACAAGATCCTGGCAACAGTCACCCTGCTGGGTTTTGTAAGGATCTGTAAACCAGGCTGACAAAAGCATAGCAAGCCTCAGAGCTGGAAAGCAGAAGCGATACACTCATGGAAGTAATGAGGTGCAAAATGTTAACTTTGGGGATATTTAATCACCAAAAATGCTTTAATAAGGACACTTCCAAATTCACAATGAGAAAGCACCTTAACCTGAGGCTGGCTTCCTAAAATAGATACTTTAGCAAAAGGACAGGTTTGACATAAAGCACTCTGTCCTTCATCATATAATACATCCCAGCAATGCGCTCCAAATCTTTTGGCTGATTTTATAATACAGCTAATATTTTTTTTCTGGCTAAAAAAAAAAAAAATCTCTGTGTTCTGTCCTCATCTTCAGGTCATTGCTTCAAAGAGGATCCTCTCTGACTCAAGGTGCCTCAGGGCACACATGCAAAGAACTTCTGCCCTTACATTATACAGCCTGAGCCCTGGGAATGACCCCCAGAGCACATGAAACAATTTCCATATCTCCTACTTTTTTCTCTTTCTCTTTGCTAAGGCAGACAGCTTGTAGTTTAATGCTCAGCTTCAACAGCGCTCCATGTCTCCTTCTATTTGATGGTCTGCGTCCATAGCTTGCAGAAAAACTAGGATGTAGGTTTTTCCCCTACAATTTGCCCTACACCTTGCTTGAGATGCTGAGGTGGGCAGAACATACCACCGCTCTCCTTGGCTATGAGTTTTTCAGCAAGACAGCAAATTTTACTGTGTCTGCTATGAGCCCTTGCAGTGCTACTGAACACAAAGGAGATCCCACTGTGAAATGGGAAAGTTGCCCTTCTCCAGCATGCAGCTATTAATGGAAATGGTAACTCTTCAACTCTTCTCCCTCTTCCCCATGGCACAGCATAAGGAGATGGAAATGACTGCTGCATAGTCTGTGCTCTGGACTTCCATAAGGCCAGCACATCTAATGCACTTGACTACAAACAGTAGGATACAGAAACAGGTGGGTAGACAAGACTTAGCACAGAATGGCTGCAAAATCCTGCCACACTTGAAAGCATGGGAGGAGCTGAACACAATGCAAGTGGGAGGGACGGGACTGGTTTTACCTTCCTTGTCAACTCGGAAACCGAATTCATCATAGCGGAACTCTGGCTGCTCGACGGATTCTTCTTTCTGGGAGATGGAAGGAAGGAAGGAAAACAGACATTTTCAGCAGTTTATCACTGAAGAACCAAACAGAGACACACAGATATTGCCTCATCCCACCACTGCCCACTCTGTGCCCTTTGAGCAACTAGACCCCTTGCCCTTTAATTTTTAAAGCCTCCCACCACAATTCCCAGCTGAGGAGATGTTGTCTGCCGTTGCCATTTTGACTTCTCCGTGGAAAAAAACTATAAAGATTTTCCCAGCAGGACTTGAGCTCAGCATCTTATCAAGATCAGAACTGGAGGTGAGCACAGCCCTCCTTCATGGACTAAGGAATATACACACACCAGCTAAAGTGACCTCTACTGCCTGCATCACTAATACACAGCCATCCTTCCTGTTACTTCTGCACACACATTGCAAACTCAGCTCCCTGCACCACTCCATCTTCTGCCTGTTGCTCTCAAATTTCCTTTGAAAGGCAGCAGGCAAAACTGGGATTGCACCTGTGATGCAAGTCCAAGTTATAGGCCAAAGAAAATTAAGGTCCATGACCCAAATCTCAACCGTGCTCATGGCTGGCATTGGGGCGTACTGGGGGATACACACTGGAGATTACCTCCAGGATTTTTTTAGTAGTAAAAACCTACTGCTCTCTCCCCTTTCCTGCAAGCCCACCTGCACCTCCTGTGGGGACTCCTGCAAGCACTACAACCAGACAGCACCTAAGAAGCAAGAAGCACTGCCCACATAACTCCAACAAAAAGCTTTAATCTGCTTTCAGCAAATACTGTGGCTAAATTACAAAATTCCACAGCTGCTTCCTTCCTTCCTGCTCTACCCACCTGGTGACAAGCTTGAAACTAGCATTTCCTGCCATGCACAAGTTGACCAAAGTAGCTTGATGATGACAGAGGCTCCCTGAGGGTGTCAACATTTTTACAGTGGAGCAATAGTTGCAAAACAGCAGGGAAATAATTCAGAGAAGTTTCTTTGTGCTCTGCAAGATCCTCTTGCAAAAGCCAGGATGCAACCACAAAACTTGTGAAGTCCATAACCAAAGCATTGGAGGAAATGTGTACCTCTCTCTCCTTTTCCCTGTGGCTTTCAGAGACCACCAGAAAATACCAGGTTCCCTCTACTTTTGCAGAGCCAGAGAACATCCTCACCCTGTCCCACACTGTACCTGTGTGTACTTTGCCAGGATCTCCTGAGGCCAAATGCTGGGTGTGAGTGCTGAGAAAGGACCCCCAGCAGAGGGAGTGTGATGGCCTAAAAACAGAAAGAGATCAACACATAGCAGTGAAAATCTGGAAGAACACCCTTGGAAGATACACACTCCATACAGACTGTTCCAGCATGGGAAGGACTCACTCATCAGTTTGTTGCTACTGCTACTCTAAACATTGAGACAGCTCCCACTTCACCAGGGAAGCCAGTAATTTCTGATGGTTTTGCTCTTTTTTATTGAGCAAAAGGGCCAAATGGAGTTATCTCTAAAAAAGCAATTCTTAGGGAAGAGAAATAGTTCCATGGCATCACATGATCACTCACCTGGCTTGGAAAAGCTGTATAATCAGCAACAAGCCAAGGATATCATCATCAAATAAATATTATTTTAGAAGTAAATTCCTCCTATGTACCAGCACCAGCAGAACTCCAGAGTTCCCTGAAACTGTCACTCAGGCACCAGAATGAAAAATCAGAGCCCTCGGAAACATACTCAACTGTTCCCTTTTTTTCCCAATGGGAAGTATGCCTATAATCTTGGTATTTTGTGTTCAACACAAGCACCCTTCCAGTGTCTCAGGTAGAATCCCAGTGAACAGCTTCCCTTGGAATACAAGCAGACATTGAGTCTTGCAATTGAAGCAGATAAACAATAGAAAGTCTTCTGTTGTTCTATCAGCAAGACCAAGGTCTACTCGGCCTTGAAGCATAGTCTCCCCCATGGTTATGTGCCCTGAAATAACCAGCTTGACCAGGAAGGAAGGTTAGAAAAAAGTACAAGGCGGGAAAGTTGGCTTCTCTAAGAAGGAGAAGACCTAATTTTAGCGAAGCTTCTATCTCAGAAGTCCACAATTGAACTCCAGTTATTCTTCAGCATTTTCCATGTCCTAGAGCTACCTACCATTGTACAGCAAAAATCTCTCACAGTCATTGTGAGCCACTCACTTTGGGGGAAGTGCTGGGGAGAGAACAGAATCAAGCAAATCTTAAGGAAAAATGGGGAAGGCAGAACACATTTCAACCTCCTTCCTCCTCTCTGTTCAATGGCTGAAAAAGCTTCTACATTGTAAAAGAAGGAACTGAGTTCACCTTGAGTGAAAATGTCCTAGGTCACAAAGTTTCCTCTCTCTCAATCTGACCACAAAGTAAGTTCGTGTAAAGAATGGCTCTTGGAACCAAAAACCTTTGTTATGAAGTTTCAGCTGAAGACAGAGCAAGCAAGGATACTGTGTCAATTTCTGTGTGCTCACCTGACATTGCACTAGGCTGAGTGGTACAGGTGTCAGCAGGTCCAGAAATGCTGTCCACAGAGGTGAGATGTCACACCCCTGTTATAAAAAGAAAAAAAGTGTTATGAGAGAATTCAATTAACATCTAAGAACATGGTGGGGGACTGACAGACCCCTCACACACAACTTCCTCATGTGAAAATTAAATTCCTTAGTATACAAGAAATAAATTCCAGAGACTGGAATTTCCTTTTGGTTTCATACTTACTGACCAGCTAGAAAGAGCACACTGTCATTTGCCCAATTTCTTGTGGAAATAACAGCATTGCTGGTTGGAAGAATGTCAAAAAAACAAGTCAACTTTTAACACCTTTTCAATGGCATACAGTGAGTCCTTTCTTTAATGATGTAAACTAAGAAAATACCCCACACATCATCATTCTCTGAAGACACTGACCATGGAGAAGGGACAGGAGTGGTGAAAAGGGTTTAAGGGGTAATCATTAGATGCTCTAAGTCCAAAAGAGACTTTAGGAGTAGCACCACAAAGCACAGGAGTAAAGTGTGTAGGGCTGCAGAATACAAGTCCCTGAAACATGTGGATGTGGACAAGATGCTATCAAGTACCTCTGCAATGAGTCATGAACCAGGCTCCTCTGAAATAATCAGGCAACAGAGCTCCCCTCCTTCTTTCCTGACACTAGTTAACAGCATATTTTTTATGGGGATTTCTGTGGGGATTTCCAGGAAAACAATGGAATACTTCAATAATCAGAGAGATTCTGGACTTTAAGATCAACCTTACAATTTGTGTGTGGAACAGCAAGAGCCACCTCTACCGAGCAGATAAAGCCAGTGCTGGGATAGATCAGCCACTCACACTTCCTTGGGAAAGAACCTGGGAGAAACTAACATTTGCACACCTAGGATGGCTTTTCCAGCTTCCCTTTTCAGTAAAGCTACTTATGACTGTAAGCTGCTAAAAGGAGGAACCCCAGGGATTCATCCCACAGGCCCTATCCAAGTCGTTTCACAGTTCTGATTAGTACAAGGTTATATTGCCTTTGCATCTCAGTGAACTTTCCAGTGAGCACCTGCAGCCAGGAACCAACTTGCTGCAGCTCTCCAAGATAAGCAGCTGCAGAGCACTGTAAAAGCATAAAAAACATCTGTGTCTGGGAACACAAATGATAAGGTTTGCTCCTTATGGATTTAAACAATTCTCTGCCTGAGAAAGGCCAGCAAGGATGAACAGACACTCTGATCCATTCTGACACTAATGCTTAGGGCAAAAAGAATCACAAACAAACAAACAAATAAAACCCAACTTTTGTTTCTGAGAAGTAGTGTTGTCCACAGGATGGTCAGTTGCATATCCACCAGCTCTGTAAATGTTTGTGTGTTCTTCCCTACACTCCAGTCCCATTTTTTCCCTTAGCACCAACTCAACTCTTAGTAGTTGAAGACACAGCAACAATTACAAAATGAGCATCTGCATGCTCCTATTACATGGGAACACACAGTGCATGCACCCCAAGAAGGTAAATTGGCTGACATTACTTACTTCCCTTTCAACATTGCTGAGAAGGTATTTTGATGCTTTTTTCACTGCCTTGCAACCATGGCTGTCTGCTCCTGAGCCTGCAAGGCGTCCTTCTCCCCTGCCTTCTCCGAGCCCAGCGAACCCTGTTTCCAGTGGCTTTTATTAGGAATGCAGTCACCACGTGGTTCGTCTGCCACGCTTGTCATTGTCTGTGCTCCGAATCCATCCTCAGTGCTTTGAGCTTGTGAGTAGAGATTCCCCTCAGCCAACTAGCAACCTTCATTGCACGTACAACCACTGCTGACCCAACCTGCTGCAGAGGAGCCAGCCAGGGCGTCAGGCACGTGGCTGAGAAAAAACCCCATCAAAAGGGAATTAACCACAGTGCTTGGAACAGGGCAGGAGTGCTGAGTGAGTCTCTCCTTGTCCCAAGACAGGTGTAGCAGATGGAACACCCTCCCTTGCCCACGTCATCACGTCTTGGCCTCCGCCTTGCTGGGGATCACTCCCCTGCCTGCTCTCCTATCCCTGACATTAGAGCACTGAACTTGGTGGGCAGGTTTTTCCTGCCCCTGGTTCCCATAGAAACCTTCCTGCAAGCACCCATCTGGGACAGAGGCCAGAGAGAGTGTGAGGCTCACCTTGCTGCTGACATGGTTGTGCAGAAGGGCAGGGTGAGCAGCAGGAATCACACCAAGGGAAGACTCCTGCTGTGGCACATGGAGACACTGCCCTGGGCACTGCCCTCAGAGCCAGGTGTATCCAAGAGAAAGTGCTGAGGCCACTGAACCAGTCCTTCCAGCATCACAGGAACTGGGAAGAAGGTTCCCTGACACAGTCAGGCACCACCTAGTGTGAGCCAGGAGGAGGATATCTCATATGTGGGATTGACATACTAAGGTCTTTCCTTTGACTGACTTGTTATAAACCTAAAGCAACTCTCTAGCTCTCCTAGCCAGGAGATAGCAAGTAGCAAAAAGGGCTGCACAAAGCTTGTGAAACCACACGTGGGAAATTGCTGTTATTTGCAACCTGTACAATTCTGAAATAAAGCAACAGTAAGAAATGCAAAGGAAAAAAATACATCAGATGCAACAAATATTAATGGCAACTCCCAAACCCTCAGTACTACAAAATTAAAACCAGTTTCACACACACATTAAGGAACATCTCCCATATTTAAAGGCAATTTAAACTTCTTATATGAAGCAATTTTGGTCACACAACAGGTAATCTTCATATTTTGAAACAAATGTATTTTTTGCTAAAATGCAAATAGCACCTGTTAATCACAGATTACTTTTTGAATTCAGAGTCCAAAACAAATCACACCACCATTGTTTCCAGCCTGCTAGAACACAGGTGTGAGGTACCTGAAAAAGAAGACTACAATGGAAACATGAAGTCAGCATCAGGTACAGCCATTTGAAGAACTCCACCTGCAACACTTTTGTTGGAGTTGCAAACACACACCATGAAGGATTATGTCCAATTAGTTTACTTTCTAGTGCAGGTGTCCTTTAGAAATTGATGTTTGCAAAGGAGTCCTGCAAATTTACTTCCACTTGGAAATAGTGTGCCTCCCCTGGACACACTGGCTCTTCCCCACAGCTGTAGTATGAGACATTTCAATTACCTGGCTTCTAGCAAACACCAGACAGCAACCTCCTGCTGCTTGTGTTTTACCTGCTTGGCCTCTTTTGCTTAGGTGATCTCCACCTAAGCCTGTGGTGGTAAGGCCCTGGATGTGCTAAGCACAGAATTACACTGTCTGGAGCCTTTCAGTAGGACCTTTATTTTGGGACAGAAACTCTTTCCCAAGAGTGTTCTTGTCCCACTGGTTAAAAAAGAAAAATCGACCAAAAAGGCAGCATACCTCTAGCAGACTGTGCAGAAGACAAACATTTTACCAAGCAATGTTTTTGCATCCTGAAAACTTCACAACCAGTAACTATGCAGAAACCTCCACTGAGTATTGTCAGAAGGAACAGAACAGAATTCTTTCTAGAATAATTTTAATTCACTGTTACAAGAACTGCACCTCTGTTCTGACAGTTACAACACCTCTTTTGACAGTAAGCTAGCATGGGAAAAACTGTTTTCCTTTATGTTTAATGAACAGAAAGCAAAAGCATATGCAGTAAATCCCACTGCCACAGCTGGTTTCCACTGTTCTCTATTCTCTTCCTTTATTAAGAAAGAAAGTTTTGGAAGAGAGAGAAGTGATTGAAAGTCACAGCACCCATCAGGAAGCTATGCACGTAGGTGTAGTTCTAGAAGCCTCTTCCAGCTCAGCTTTTGAAATCCCAAGTAGATTGAATCCAATTTAACATCTCCCTCTCAGAAATCAGACAAAAGTTCTGCACTGAACCAGGCAGTTCAATTCTGTCTTCTCAAAACCAGAAAACTTATGTTTTCCAAATTATAATCCTGATTTGCTCAGTGAAATGTCTAAGGGAACTCTCAGCAGGACACCCTTGGCCTTCCTTCCCTTCCCCCATCAGCGTCTCCCTCAAGTCAGGCAAAGGCATATCCTGGAGCTGCAAATGCCATTAGTCCACAAGTCAATATTTGCTTTGCACACAGAGTCAGAAGAGAACTCCAGCCTCCCAGACAAATACATAAGCGAGCAAAGAGCAGCCACACACCCGACCAAGGGAGGCAGACAGGATGCAGAGAGCTCCTGTTCCACACATCCTAACTGGCTGGCTTTGTAAGAACTGGAATCCCACACAGACACTGGTTAAGGAGTCAATATGATGTTAATGAACTTGGCTCATCCCAAACTTCCTGTCTGAGGCTTACAAACCATGACCAGCCTCACACTGCTTTGGGTGTTGAGCAACATTTATGGCTGGAAGTGCGGAAGCGGCCTTCAAGCTTTCTCTCTACAACATGACTGGGAATAAAGAGCTGGGAACTTTAAATGCCCTCACCCCACTTCTTGTAGTACTGGAAGTGAACCAGAGATGCACCAAAAGCTTAGGGCAGATCTCAAAAGGGGGATGAGAGACCTGGAGAGCAGCGAGGTGGGCAAATAGGCAGGATGCTGAGAGGTTACACCACTGCAGAGGCACCACCCAGGACTCCAGTGCTGCCCAGTCATCAACTGGGATCACATACTGACAGCAGGAATGTGGCAGGGCAAAGTATTTCCTCCCAGCTGCCTCAGGGCACTATAAGAGCAACAGAGGCAGCAAAAGGTAAACTGGAACTCTGTGTCTCCTGCCATAAAGCACCTTGTCGAGTCCTGCCCTCATTGGAAATGTAATTCCATGCAGAAAGGTAACTAAAAGGTACTTCCATGTAACAGTTCTGCTCCTTGCACAGCTAGGTGTCCATTGCATCTCCATTTTGAAAATAAGGATGTGAAAAAGTGGAATCCTGCTTCCTACCGCTTATGCATTGGACAGATGGATCACAGATGGACTTCCTGACCACAGCTCAATGTGTCAACCTTGTCTCAGAAACACCCCTACGGAACACCGACTTATGCAGAATGCAGATATCCTACACATCAACAGATATTTTATTTCCAGAGCAGAACTGCCTTTTATTTACCTGGCTCCAAAGCAAACAGCATGCCAGCTAAGCATGAACTGCACCTCTGTGGAGAACCTCTTGTTAGCCAAGACCCTTGGGATCAGAGGAAGAGGAGGAGTTTCCCCTTTCCCGGTACTCCCATTATTTGAGTGATGAAAAAGTATGTGACAGGAATAGAGAGTGCTCCTTGCAACTCACACAGGACGACTACAGTTGAGTACATGAACAGTACATTTTTTGGGGTTTTCTATTTGCATCAAATGAAATTAGAAAGAGAGGCCAGGATACAAACTTGCATGGTGCTCACTTTCACTGCACAGCAAAATTCTCCTTGCTTTCAACACAGAGGCAAGAAGACCTGTATGTGCCAAAAAAGGCAGGCCTGCAGTCACCCCAGCCTTCAAGGCTTAGGGTAAAGGCAATTCCCTGTTAAACACCACTATGCACATATAAACCAAAGGTTTCTCATTAGTGTCTAAACATATCTTCCACGAGGATCAAGTACTGCACAATAAATGGGAAATTTCACCTAAATAAGCACAGGGCTTATTAATAATACCAGGGCACTTCTGCAGAGCTCTACAGAAATTTGCTTTTCCAAAAAAATTTCCGAAGAGTTGTTTACTTTCTGGTCCATTGCAAGACTGTAAAAGATGTCTGTCGAAAGCAATCAATCACAACTGTCCAGTTTCATTTGAATAAAGAAACTTGAAAAAAAAATTCCTGTTAGAGATGTGGGGCTGTACCAACCAAAGAAAGGTTAAAAGACATACTGACAGTTACCTTAGGTCAAGTATTATGAAGTCTTTTATATCACATCCCTGTCCTGAGTGGTGACAAGCAGTGCCATCTGAGGCTGTCTCCATCAGCAGTCCTGTAGGCTCACCTGGGTGCAAGTTTGATTCTCAAGCTGGTCTCATCCTACTGCTCCCAGTGACAATGGAACAAGGGCCTGAACAATGGCTCCTCCTTGACAGGGCCTCAGAGGATTGGCAGAGGTTTTGCTGTTACCTTGGTGAGGCACAGGCTCATTTCAGGTCACTCTCCTGCAGCTCTGTTTTGTTACTATTTGCTCCGGTATTCGCAAAAAAAAAAAGTCAGATTCACTTTACAGGACTCTAAGCAGGTCTTGTTTCATTTGGCTTCAAAAAATGGCTTTTAAAGCAAGTATATTCCACAGCATTCAAAACTTTTCCTTCAGGGCTTTGTCTTTACAGGAGTCAACTTTCTGAAGAGGTTAGTAACACTTGAAACACCTCTCAGGACTGTTTGCAAAGCTCTTATCTAGCATGTCATGTTGGACTACTTAGATCTTGCTCCCTGAAGGAATTTATATGCACAGATAACTTAAGAGGAAAAAAAGCAAAATATACAAGGATTGTTAACATTTGTAACAAAACAAGACAAAACCTCTGATATTTCCCGATTCTGGCGAACAGGAAGATTTCTTCTCCAGAGAAGAAAAGGACTGTCAGGTTATGGACTTTCTTTCTCATCTCTGAATCATCAAATACTTCCCAACCAGCACTAACTGGGCAGTAACAACAGTTCTTGTAGTCATACTAATACCAATTAGTATGGTAATGTCCACCAGTTCTGTAAATGTTTGTGTGTTCTTCCCAACACTCTTCTCTTCGCCTATCTCATAAAACAAGCGTGTTTGCATTTCTTCCAGGGTGTTTTCCTTAAATCAGGAACAAAATTGCTCTGTTACCAATGTAACTGGTTACACTCCAGTTTAAAAAAATCTGAGACCTCCCCAAAGACAAATGTGGCAAGACAACATCCTTCTCTTCCCTAGCCAGTGCCAGCAGTAACACAGCTGACAAGTGAGATTTTCCCCAGCAATCCCAGATACTCAGCCTGTGTAAGCTTTATGTACCAAAACCCTTGACCCTGGGATAAGAAGTGGCAGAGAAAAGTTTAGTGTGGCTGAGGACACAAACCTGAAGTACCAAAACCTCTCCATCTCTTAAGGGACACTTAGGACACCACACCCACAACACAGCACAACACAGAATGAAGCTGTTTGTTCACCTCCTCCTACTGGACAGTTGCAAATTCTCTGCATCTTATCCATCTGAATTAGGGTAGGATCTAGAATAACCAGTGTGATACAGATCACCAGCAAGGGTCATTGCTGATTTAGCTACAAAAGCTGTAGCACCACATACACTAAAATATAAAACACCTTAACTTTACTACTGCAGATAAAGTTGCAATACTCCTTAGGATTTATTTTTAAAAAGTTTTCATTACTTCTGATGTGTCAGTGAGAAGTTTGCAATTTAGAGCCAGGAAGAGGCATCATTCCAACCACTTGCAGAACAGTTATTGCCTCAAACACGGTATCACTAATTCCTTGTCAAAGCATCCCAAATACCAAACACCGGAAACAATTGCACAACACACAAATCAACTCACCAAGAATGGGACTAAGACTGGCAGCTCTCACACACATCTCTGAACCAATAATCTCTACTGTTACCATGTCACCTTAGGTAAGACACAGTATTTTTTAAAAGCCAAATATTTTGATTGTTGCCTGTCTTTTAATATTGTCAAGGTTCTTTAGAACACTGAGGTTGGCAGAAGATCCCACCTTGTGGGAAAGCGACAGGTTAAATGCACAGCAAAGAAGAAAAACCTAAACATCAGCAGAGACACCTAAAATTGGAGAATTACTTCTGGCCTGAGCAAGTGTGCAGTACGTTGCTCACCTCAATTCTATCATTCCCTGATCAGTGCAATTCCTCCAGAAATATGCCCCTCCCCTCTGCTGCCTCTCAGGAATTCCTTTCACCCTTCTTCAGAAGAAGAGTCACTAAGAATGACATCTCCCTAAGAATATCAAACCACATTATCAAAATTTTATCATAATCAGGAATTAAGACAGGCAGTATTTGTCATTTCACTCTGTTAAACACAGAATGAACACTGTATTAACATGACACAACCAGTCTCCACCCTGACCTCTTCAATTACATGTCATGCCTCTTCTCACCCTCTTCATTTCCTTTTACTTTATGAATTCTCCAGAGTAGGAATTCAGCCTTTCTTTCTGCATAGGGACAGTCACACACACATTGTGTGGATCCAGAAATAAATAATGAAATTGAATTTTGTTCCAGTGGCTGTTTCTTTCCAGGCCGCAACTCCAGACTCCGTAGCAGCTGAAAAACTAATCTAGAATTCAGATTATCCAGCAAGCAACTGTATCATGATCAACAGCTCAGCAAAATCACAGCAGTGCCCCACTCCTGCTAGGCTGACAGCTCCTTCTTGAGTGATTTAAGAGTCTTGCACTACTATAAACCCACTGATCTTAATTCCAGTAAGACTGCTTTGCTCTTCCATCTATTTGCACTAAAGGATCCATTTCCTCAAGGCACTGTTCTTCCTTTATTCCCACTTCCCCCCTTAAAAAGAAAAAAAATCCCAGCAAGCCATCAAGAGTAGGGCTGAGACATCATGAAGTAGGAAGCTATGACATCACATAAAACCCCCACACACCAACACTGAAACTGACTTGTTTAGAAGGAAAGCACCTGCTTAAATTCAGGCATCCCTCAGAAAAATCAGGAAGGAAGCAAAGCCACACATAGGAAATTTTTTCTGTCTAGCCCTTACCAGTTCTGTGAAGACACATCAAGAGCCGTCCCGGAGCCCACAGCCACTGCCTGCAACGAGATTTAAATCCGCGTGATTGTGGCTCTTTGCTTCCTTGGATTTACATCACCAGGTACGAAGAATTACATCTGCCTCCTGCTCTCCTTCTAACATTTATTACAGCTGACAATCACAGGGCCTGCAGCACGTCTATTTGTGCCCATTGCCTAGGGGATACTGCCATGTTTCCATCTGTGTTTCGTGACTGCTCCTTCCCCCCAGCCAGACAGGAGACAGACTGTCTGTCCTCCGGGGCACTGGGAAAAGGCGCAGGCGTGGAGAGCAGATGAGTATGGCAGAGCAGGACCCCCGGGAGTCGCAGCCACGGCCAGGAGAAGAGGCGGGTTAGAGGAGAGCCACGTCCCGGGGAGCAGGGGGAGCCCAGCCGGGGGAAGCGGAGCGCAGGAAGAACGTGCCCCGGGCAGCGCAGACGGAGAAGCACAGCGTGAGTCACTCCCGGAGCCAGACCCTGCGTCAGCGCGGCCGCTGCGCGGAGCCTTCATCGGGCCGGGGTCCCTCCCGGCTCCCCCGCCCCAGCCCGGCGAGCGGAGCCGCGGCCGCGCACCCCCGCCCAGCACGCAGCCCAGCAGCGGGGCCGCCCCGGCGGGCTCGGCCCCCCGAGGAGCCAGCAGGGCAGGGGCTGCCGGGGTGAGGTGAGCGCGGGGGGCGCCGCACAGGTGGCGCAACAGCTCCTGGGGAGCGCCCCGGCGCGGTGGGAGTTGCGGAGCCGAGAGCCCCGGGGGGAGAAGGGCGGTCCCCGCCCGCCCCGGCACGCACCTGCCCCGGCACCCACCTGCTGCCGCTGCCGCCACCGCCGTCCCCTCAGGGCGGGCGCCCGGCCCCGACCCGGCGGCCCCACACGCCGCTGCCGGGGCGCATGCGCGGGAGGCGCGCGGCGGCGCGCGGCGCGGCGGGGGCTGTAGGCCGGGAAGCGCGGCCCGGCAGGCGCGGAGGAGGCGGCGGGATGGCCGTGCCCAGCACGGGCACGGGCTGCAGGGACACGCACCGAAGGGCCCAGAGCGTGATCGGGCCTCACGAAGCTGTGACGGAATCACAGAATCAATGAGGTTGGAAAAGCTCTCTGAGATCATGGAGTCCACCCTCTGACCGAACGCCACAATGTCAGCCAGCCCATGGCACTGATTGCCACGTCCAGTCTTTCCTTTAACACCTCCAGGGACGGTGACTCCACCGCCCTGTCTAATCACCCTTTCTGTGAAATTCCTCTTAATGTCCAACCTGAATCGCCCCTGGTCCAGCTTAAGGCTATGCCTCCTGTCCTTTTGCTGGGTTGCCTGGGAGAAGAGACAAACCCGCACCTGGCTACACCCTACTTCCAGGTAGTTGTAGGGAGTGACAATTCCCCTAAACATCCTTTTCTGGAGGCTAAACAACAGCAGCTCCCTCAGCTGCTCCTCATCAGATCTGTGCTCCTGACTCTTCACCAGCTTTGCTGTCCCTCTCTGGACTTGCCCCAGCACCTCAATGTCCTTTGTGAACTGAGGGGCTCAGAACTGGACAGGACCCAAGGTGTGCCCTCACCAGTGCTACGTACAGCTGAACACCTGTGAGCTGCTCCTGCAGCACTGCTTGCTGACCTCCTCCCAACAACCAAGCAGAGGCGAGAATTACATCTCTGGCTGTTGTTGCTGTCGTCACTGCCGTCACTGCCAACGCTGCAGGAAAGTAGAAAGTCAGGTCCCAAACCAAGGAGTGGAAGTCTCCTAAGGGATTTGTTTATCATGCCAATTTTCTAGGAGGATGACTTTTCCTCTGCACCACTGCTACTTGTTTTAGAATTTCCAGGAAAACAAGTCCAATAGCTCACAGCTGGCAGCCTCTACCTGACAAATACTTATTTCTAATGATGAGAAAAGATACTGTTCCTCCTCTCTACACAGGGTTGGTTGGTTTTTTTTGAGGAGGAAAGAGGACCAAAAAAGGAGGACTTACGCATCTGTCTGTTTTCTTTCTTGGCTTCAGTAATAGCCTGAAAATGACGAGGGTTCAATTAGTTATCCTTTTCAAACAGATGGCTAATTAAATGTTAATAGCACAAGCAAGCAAAATGTTTTAAACACCATCAAACTCGCAAACGTTTGAGACATTTTGAATGCCATATTCTAGGGGCAAGGTAAAGCCAGAGCAGTCTCAATGGAAGAAGATCACAGCCTGAAGCTTCCCACTGCTCTTAACTACTTAATAAAGACAAGCCTTATTAAAACATACAGTATTTTAAAATCCTCTTTCAACAAGGATGACCTGAAGGACACCAGGTAGCCTCTTTCAGTTAGTTCTGCTTTTTAAAATTCTCTTTAGCAACCACACTTCAAAAATCATCAAGTAATCCTTACCATGTCACCTCTGAGGGTCTGAATAAATAAGAGGCCAGAGAGAGAGCTTTTTACTCCACTGAAGCAGAAGAAATGCTCTGTGATGTAATAACACTGGAAGAAGAGGTAAGGGATATCATTCCAGATTATGTCAAAGGGAAAAGAATTTGATCCACTAGTAAATGTCCAGTAAAGCACAGACATTACCAAACAGATCATTCATGTCAGAAATAAAACTGAAGTTCTTGAATTTCTCTGCCATTCAATGAATTCCAGTACCTTTTTTATTTCGTTATCAGACAAAACTTGTAGTAGAGAACAACTTTCACATGCCAGAGTCCAACTGCCACCCATAATCACACACCTACAGCCAAGGACCACAATCACAGCCAGAACACAGTGACTGGTTTCTTACCAACAATTGTAAATACGATTTTCAGAAGCTACAGAGCCACAGCTACAGTATTAAACTAGGAAAGGAGCACTGAAGGAGCACCAGTTTGAGCCATCAAGTTCCATGGCCTCCCTCTTTCATTATTTCTAATATTTTGGCTTGTTTGCTCCCTAAGTCACAGTACTCTGAAAGCCAGGACAGACTTGTCAACTTTTGAGACACCTGTGGAGAAAGTTTCAGGGCATGGAAAGAAAGATGAAAATGGGAGTGGGCTCAGATCCCCTTACCTCTGCTCTTCAACAAGTCAGTCCTACATGAATGTCAGGCAGCACCAGGCATTGCTCCTTGATGGTGCTGTGATAAAGTTACCTTGTCACAACTGAGCGTTTCTCAGTAACTCAGCATGCTACAGATAGAGGCTTGACCTCCATCAACAGTCAAAGACCTCCATCAAACAGCAAACAAAGAATGAAAAGCCCATCTGGAATGAAGGAGGCTGTAAGCTCTGGGGGCTAAATGTACTGTAGAGAACCAAAAGAATGTGACACAGTAAATAGACGTGGGTCAATAAGGCTTTTATTATCTTCCTGTACCCACACACATTTGCAGACTATACCTAAAGTGCCAGTTCAACTTTCCCACCCATCTTGCTTTGGTATGGAATCAGTGCTGGTCGAACCTCCTCCTTCAGGAACTTTGTCACCTGTTCAAGATGAGAAAAATAAAATTAGGAAAAGGTCTTGCCTCCTCCTCCCCATCTAGACCTGCTTGTCTTGCTGGGGTCTCTCTTTCACAGAGACACCCAACAGTCTGGTATGTCCAGGGTCAAAAGTGTGAAGCCACAGGGAAGAAAGTCAAGAAAGCCAAGGAAATCAAAGGAAAAAAAATGTGTCTTCCTTAGTAGTATGGCTAGAGCTATATAATATGTACACTCTGTAGCAAACATTGCATTACAACCCACATTGCATTACAACCCACAGCCTCTTTCCACTACTTTACCTGTTGAGGAGCACGTCCAGTGAAGGAGGAGGGATCCAACAGGCTTTCAAGTTGTTTATGGATGGGGCTGAAGTAAGGATCAGCACGGACACGGGCAATGAAGTCATTATCACCCCCTTCCTGTTTCACAACAGCTGCTGCTTGCTGAGAGAGAACACGAATTTTCTCGTGGCAATCCTGTAGGTACAGGGAGAGGAAGATGGAAAAAGAAAAAAGTCATTCCATTGCTATTGACAGCACATGTTCATCTCACCAGCTTATGTGGGAGGAAAAAATATCTAAGTGTATTGCCCTGGACAGTGCAAAAACAAGATGCAGTTTTGACTGCTGTGCTTCACGTGCCACTACAATGAAACAAGATTTTCTTCATCCTTTCACATCTGCCCTTTGAGGCTAAAACAGTCCAAATGTCACATACATTCCCTGTTGAACTGTAACATAAACTAATGACACTGGAATAATTTATACTTCTTCAAATTTCCCAAATACTCTTAGGAGTCATTCTAGGGCTTGTTTGTGGTTTTTTTTCCCCAATTGTAAATAATGTAAAACCTACAGATTTTGAAAAGGGAGAAGAAAAGAATCTGTCCAACTTAACAAGTAGTGAGACTTTGCAAACCATGGCCTACATAAGGATAGACTGAGGAAAAAAAGCCATTCCTTTGGAATCAACCCATTCCTTTGGAAAGAACAAGGGAACCCAACTGTAGTCAGGTACCACCTGCAAAATCAGATATTGCCATGCTGGTCCTAAAATACAGCCATGTGACTGCATTTACAGCTATGCAGGAATCTTCTCCTTAAATGTAATGTCCTTGATCTACAATCAGGACAAAAATAATCCTGCTTCCTCTATCCAAATGTCATTTTGCTTCACCACTGACCTGCCTCAGGTGAACACATCTATCTTCTGGATATTTAGGGGAGGAATCTGTTTAGTAGTGGGGAAAGGAAGTGAGTTTCAGTGCTATGAGGTGGGAAAACCTAGAAAAGGTGCTGTTCCAAAGTTCCCAGCACACAAAACCAAAACATACGAATGTGAATATGAACACCTTCTACAAAGTACTAAGCCCTATGGGTATGTAATTAAACAGCACCAGAAAGAAGGCAGGTCAACAAGAGACACAAATGAATCACAGAATGTGATTCATATGATGTGACCCTTAATGCATTTAGTCAGGAAGCTTACTCACTGACCCACTGACATCAGAAACACAGGGGGAAAAAAAGATGTTTCCTGACTAATATAATGGGGGTGATTTGCCACAACTGTTTCAGAAAACTGAAACCACATATATTCTGCTCAAATCTTCTATCAAACCCTTTCATTATTCTTTCAAGTTTCACTTCTATCCTTGATGTGAAAATAATCATAGAAGGAAAAATTATTATCTAAAAGGTAAGTGAAAATAAGGTGTTTCATTAAGATGGAAATTCAATGATCAACTTTGACCTGAACTGTGAAGTTAAATGATCAGGAAATATAATCTAATTGTGTCTGGGTTTATTTACTAAGGAAAATATATAATTACAGTTTTCTTGAACACAGGAAGCTGAATGAAGGAGTAAACAGAGTGGTTAATATATTGTTCTGAGTTAGGGAAGAATGACACATGAATGAGTGATTCAGAATGGTCTTACTTGCTTTTTTTGCTAACAGTACTGATTCATCCTTTTTTAATTTATAAGGTAGCCAACTGCCAACATGTTCCATTTAAAGAAGCCTGGCCTGTGTTCCAAGTGCCTTCAAACACTTAAAAAAGGAAAACGCCTACTAGTATCAAACATAAAAATAGATCTCCCTCTTCTCCAGCACAGCCAGCCAGATTAGCCCAAACACACAGTGTTCCTAACAGAAAATAGGGATCTCCACAAGTGCTCTCCCCTCAGAGAGCAGAGCCTGGCTTTGCAGCACCAGTGTAATAACTCTGTGGGAGCAGGTGAAGAGTGGAGGAAGGTGAGACAGGACAAGAGCCAAGACACATTTGTTTCTCAGGAGACAAACACCAGGCTGTAAACAAAGGTAATTTGGACACTTCATTTGTACCTGACGATTGCCCCCAGCCTTCACCATTGCCATGATTATGTTCTCTGTGGCCATGAATGGCAGCTCCTGCCGGATCCTTCTCTCAATCACCTTAAACAC